TGTTAACTGAGAGGTACTAACCGTAACAGTCAAAGGCTCTTTTCGACTTGTTTTTGAGACTAACCTTTTGCGAGGCTCCTCATTTGAGGAAAAACTCTCTCACTTGGCAATAATTACTATTGGGCTGAGAAATATATAAATAAAAAAATACTTATAGGTCGACGGCAAGAAATTTATAAGAGGTGCTGATTTAGTTGCCAAACAGGAGGAGGAGTATCGTGAGAAACAAAAGCTAAAGCAGGCTAATCATCAAGAAACAAAAGAGGTCAATATTTTCAATGCTCAGCATTCTTGACGAATCTACAATACATGACTGATTTATTCTTTTAGGAAGAGAACCACGTGGTCGAGTCAACATCAGAAGGAGATTTACTTTATGAAAAAGCAGTTCCTGATGAAATACCATTATCCGAGGTTCGCAAGCGGTTGAGAGAACGAGGACATCCAATAATTTTGTTTGGTTAGGGCCTTGTACAAATCTTATCCGAACACCTCGTTAGAACACATTACACATACACTACTTATTGTAGGAGAAGATGAGTCGCAGGTTCGAGCGCGACTTTTGAAGCTGGAAATCGAACAACCAGACATGAAGGAGGGATGGAAGAATGAAATGCAGACAGCCATGCGAGATGTTGACGAGGAGCTTGTCAAGGTTTGTAACAGTTTTTGACAAAATAAAGAGGAATACAAACATTCATCACTGCAGGAAGTAATCGAAGGATCGTCGAATGATCCGAACAAGCACGATGTTGATTTGTCGTCATCATTCAACGATAACTGGGAAAAGATTGAGGAGCAAGCCACTTTGTTGGGCTTAGGTAATCCACAGCTGATGAATTGTTTTGATTTTCATTCTTTTCATTTTAGAGTAGTTATTTTAAAGATAAAACAGTTGCAATTTAAATTTTTTTCGTGTTTTTCCACGCTGTTTTATAAAAATTGATGCTTAAAATAACTATGCTTTGCTTTTTTTTTTGCAACAACGTTCCACGTCATTGAAAGGAAATGGAAATGGACTGAAAAGATTACTTTCCATGTCACCTATCCCTTGTTACATAAGGATATCCACAAACCTTTGAGGCTCGTCAAAGGAACTAGAGGCTGTAACTTTGGTAAAAACCATCCACATATCTACCTGGGCCGATAAGAAATGCATCCCTTACAAATGTGGTGTGGTGCTTCAGGTCAACGTGCCTCATAATTTGCTCAATATCGAAGCCATTATTGGATCACGGCTTAGACCATATGCTAGAAATCCAACAAAGCAGCTCATGGTAATCTCTTCAAAGTCTTTTTAGGCAATGATCCTCACCGCGATTGTGACATAATTTTATCTTTCTTCAAATATTTGATTACACGATGGGGTATGGAATTGAATCGAAGGGACGACGAAGAAAAGAAAAGTCCAGAAGGTCAGTTCCTTTTCGGGGTGCTTTTCTTTTTGCTTTGTCGGTTATTCCATTTCGCTGTTCTGAATTTTTTTGACAAAAAGCTGCAATAGTTTCAAAGTTGGTTGTCCCTTTTTATAAAATGAACGCGTCAGACTTTTCACTCTTCCAGATGTGATTTCCGTATTTTTCCTTTCAGGTAAACTGCAAGCGAGTATTCACAAACAAACAGTTATGAACCTCAGACCCTTGTTGAATTCCCTGGAAAATCACTCATGCAACAATGATATCCGTCACCATTTGACCAACATTTGCAGGTAAGTCTTTGAACCATAAACGGAAATGTAGGAAATACCTTTTTATTGGCTTAGCGCCAACTAATCTTCCGTTTTTTGGAAGTTTTTTTTGGTTTTATGAATAAGTTTTAGTTGAGCATTTAAAATTTGTGTGTTCGGTTGGAAGTTATTAGAAGAGTTTCGGTGAGGAAGGGTAATGACTTGCGGGTGTTTTAGTCGAAGGATAGGGGAACAGTTGAGTGATTATTGAATAGCCTAGACGAGCTTTTCTTCTTCATAGGAGAGCTTGGTCGAGTTGCGTCCAACTGTCAGGCAGAACGGATTTCAATTTTCACGGACAAGCAATTACACCTTTCCGTTTTGAAAGTCTAACTTTTTAGGTTATTGATAATTGAAAGAAACTACATCCTAGCAAACAACGCATACATGACCATGGCGATTGGAAATGCTCCGTGGCCTGTGGGAGTAACACGATCAGGTCAGGTTCAAGAAGTTTAAGCAAATCTTATTGAATTCTTTGAACTTGTTCCAAATAGTTTACTCAAAATGTTTCATTCCGGAATAATGTCTAGCATTTTTCCATGGGATTTTCATTTGTAGGTATCCATCAGCGTCCGGGTTCAGCGAAAGCGTATGTATCGAATATCGCTCATGTACTCAATGATGAAACGCAGAGGAAGTACATTCAAGCTTTTAAGAGGCTGATGACTAGAATGCAAGAATATTTTCCTACTGATCCTTCTAAATGTGTAGAGTTTGTTCGACCGTCATAATATGTAAAGTAGAATAAAAATGTATATTGCGGGTTGATCTTTGTTGACTGCCATTGCTTTCCATTGCTCGCCGATACCTTTAGTGGAACCGTGTCATGTACCGTGTCTTGTTTTGTAAGATTCACAACATATTGACCAGGAGAAATGTCCGATGAAGATGTTGGGGATAATGAAGCGGAAGATATGGAAATGGACGAGGTACCAGAAGATTTGGATGCTAAAATTGCAAATGTTAGGGAACAGGTAATTTATTATGTAACTGAATTTGTATTTTTACATCACCTTGAAGAAGCTCGAAAGCATGAACAGGGTTCAAAAGATCATATAGCCCGTGAGCAGATATCAACTGTTTCTAAAGTAATTTCTCGGTTTCTTCAGAGTGATCATCCCATTGAGTATTATTTGTATTTTGCTTGATTGGAACTTGGCCGCTTCTGTCCTGCTCCAAAGGAAAGAGTGGCTGTTCGAGTCGCTACTTTCTATAACTCCTGTTCTTCTAGGTTTTGTTCGAGAACATTATCCAAGGCGAACATTTCAGCTTGCGCAAAATTCCTATGACTTTGAGCTTAACAACGAGTTGTTATCATTGTTGCGTAAAAATGGCGATTTCGATGAGTTAGCTGAAGCCAGAGAAAAAATAGCTGCACAACATCCCTTGTCGAGTACGAGTTGGATAGAATGGATACAGTGCGTTTTTTTCATCAGTTTATTTTCTGTCAAGGACTGACTCTTGCAGTCCACTTAAGAAATTATTTCCAGAGATGAGCGGTCTTCCGGTGGTGAGCAAACTCGCATTGAGGAGCTGTTTGAAAAAGCTGTTTTTGATTGCAATTCGCTTGATGTGTGGATGGAGCTCGTTCAGTGGGCCTGTGGTGTCAGCCCCAAGTTTGCTAGAGAGGTAATTTTCCTGGTCAAGGTCGAACCTGAATTTGCGGTAAACAGTCCTGTTAGTCTAATTCTTGCTCTACAAATTTAGTCTCGGGTAGAGCCTCGGTTAGGCCAGAGTATGGTACCGCAGAACCTCTTCCATATTTAGCTCTTATTTGTCTTCGATCAGTAGGCTTCAATGTCCTATCTCCTATGTCCTGCATGCCCTGAATACGGCCTCTCATCAATTATGCAAATGGGACCCCCCCCCCTACCCCAAAAATGTCATGGCGTCTGAGACGCACACTATCCTAACAATGTATGCGACTTTACCAAGTATGAATGTAGACATTCTCATCTTCAAAAATTTTGCCATTTCGTAATACTAGTGGGGTCAACATCATCCTACTATCAATTTTAGAAATTCGAAGCTGCTCTGTCTGCCATCGGGCTCCGGGTGGACGTAGGTGCAATGATTTGGCAATCATATCTTTGTTTTGAAGAAGCTATGCTCGGAGGTAATAGTATTTACATCATTGTTTTTAGTTTAGTCTGCATGGTCTTAGTTTGTGCTCGTCTCTAATTTGTTCTTCGATTTACTGGAGCTCGTCTCTCGAAGTCTACAGCAGAAGTGTGCGACCTTGCAACGATTTGGTTGGATTTTGGCTGCGATACATTTAGCCCATTCATTTGCCTTGAAAGAGTCGCTTCAAAAATGCTTTTCACATCTGTTTTTCCTCAATGGCGTTCCTTTGTTCACTTATATAACTGCTCAATCCATTTGTAAAGCGCCTGGAAAAAACATGCACGGGTTCGAGTCCCGTCTGGGGTCGAATATTTGCCTACGAATCGCCACCCTTGTGACAATTTGATTTAAGTTATTAGTGCGTGAACTTGTTTGCTTGCTAGAAAGTTTTGAATGCTGGTAATCATTTTGTTTCAAATCAGCTAAACGATTGTGAACAGCCCTTGACAATTGCTTTCGACGCCACCGCTAAGTCTAGGGCTCATCCTTTGTTGTACATAACTTGCTGCTTCTCTTGAAGGACGTTCACGAAATTTCATTCCGTCAGTGTAAGATTTTTAACAGAAGGAAATGAAGGATTTCATTTTGCGATACTCAGGCGGATAGTACCTACTTCTAAAGAACATATTCGGCTCACTCAATGATGGGTATGTCGATCCCAACCTTGGGTCTATTTCGGCTATCTGTGAAACTTCGAGGTTCCTGATTTCTGTTCCTGGCAAATTTTCTGGAGTGAAACCTTCTCCCCCTTCACTCCTTCCTCGTCCTTCAGTACAGAGCGGTAATGCAATCGCATACTACGAGGTTCTCACAAAGAATAACGGTAGCCAGCAATCTAAGCATTGGCGTTCTATGTTAAAAATGCATTGGGTGGCAGCGCTGTGATTGTTCATTCTTTCCAAAAGTAATACGTACTCAGCAAGTTCGTGGTCTCATCGCTTATAGAATAGAATTCTGTATATGTGTCTCTTCTTTATACAAACGTGCTCTTCGGGTTCCTAACGTCGACCTTGCTGACACTTGGAAAAGTTATTTGGATTTTGCAGGTGCGCTATTATGCAGCGGTTGAATGTCCATCATTTTCTAGCGTCTATTTGGATCAGTAGGTCTCAATACCAATTAGAAAGCTGAGTCTTTTTTCATTAATTGAAGTCTATTTATAGGTGAACAGGTAGACGAAGACATACGGCGGGTATACGAAACCTCAGTTAACGACATGAAAGAGTTTTCTAAATACGAGTTGAAGCTGGCTGAAACCGACGACAGCCTTGAGGCATTTCATGAGTATCTTGGTTACGAGAAAGGTTCGTAATTCGAGCTATAGTTTGTAAGCAGTCTGAGCACAACTTTCTGTAAAATTTCGATAAATCAGCTTTCCAGCAATGGGCAGGTAAGGGCAAGTGTCGTCAAGATGCCAAATAAATTGATAACGCGACGCTATGTTTAGGGAACCAAGTTCAAGAGTTGGGCATTGTTCATTAAAGTGCTCAAATGCCTCTGATTGACTGACTGAGTGACTCAAAATCACCCACTTGATTTCTTAGAATTGTCTGCAAGTCGCACATCTTGAGAACGGCCCGGACATGACAATGGTCATTGCAAGTGATCGAAAGTTTTCATGCAATTGTATGTGTCAAATAATTTCGGCGCCACTTCGCTGAGAGGGATAAAAATGATCAATTTCTTATTAGTCATTTCTGCAAAAAACAATGTGTAAAGGTGGATCAGTTGTTTAGTTTAGAAAAACCACCAAGTTTCCCTGTCAATTACACTGTAAGTGGTCATAAAACCATTCTATTTACATCAACTCCTCGTTTGTTTTGAGAATTATTTATCTCTGATAGTTGAGCTTTTCCGTCAGAGCATCAAACGTTGAACATATAGGGGCCAGAACCTTTTGTACGTGGACCGTTATATCTGTCTAATCTTTTAACTTTTGGAAGGAGTATCGGTAGCTCGTTTTTCTAAAATCGCAACTGGCTTTTTTTCGGCTTTGAACGGGCACCCTTAACAAAAATTCGTACTTCTCCGTCTTTTTCTAGAGAAGGATGATCCTGCAAGAATACAAGCTTTTTATAACCGCATGTTGGACAAGCATCATCAAAATGAGAATGTTTGGTTTGATTATGGTCAGTGGTGTGAAACAAGACTCAAAGTTCACTCGGTATGTGCTTATTTCCTTTCAATGTTTTGAAAAGCAGTTTTTCATGACAAAGAAATCAGTTATGCGAATCACCCACTTGAAGTCTACTTCTCAGATTACCTGTCGTGTATATAAACAAGCTGTGCGTCATTGTCCGTATAGCTGCGCTCTGTGGCAGCAAACGCTTCTTGCCTTAGAGCGATCGGGCTCGGCGGCACTCGAAATTGATGAGTTCTGGGAGAAAGCCCGTGAAACTATCAGGTGCGGTCATTTGGTCAATTTTCGTTATATACCGGGTGTAGTTGCACAAGTGGGTTTTCATGTACTATGCATATTTACTGATGTGAAACTCTCAATATCTTCTACATAGAGGAGTTTCATTCAGTGCCGTTTGCATACAACTGAAAGCAACTTTCTTATGCCCTTCTGCTTCTTGCATGCGTCTTATTTTAAAATGAGACTGTAGCTTGTTGTTGTTTATTTCATTGTCATTCTCTTTAAAAGCTTCAAAAAATGAATGGGCGCCCATAATTTTGGGACAGCGTGCACCGGTGGTTTTCCACATGATGATCAGTATCCTTTCGAGCATGAAGTAGAATTATGGTGGTCGTAGTGTAGTAGCTCATTTTCACAGCCTCATTAATCTTTTTCAGCTCTGCTGACGATGGAAGGGCTTTGTACCGCACCTATATTTATATATTACGTCGTCGAGCAGATTCTACCGAGAAGGACTACACAAAGGTGGCGGAAATATTCGAAGAAGGATCACGGGTATATTTCTTTGCACCAATTTTAAAATATTCACAGCTTTTTTTCTGTGCTACAGAATCTCGTGGAATGGTTCGGCAAACACGATTGGGATCCGCAAGCTGTGTATCGGCGGAATTGGGCCTATTTCGCTTATAACAAGCTGAAAGACTTTCAGAAGGTATGATCACGCATGAATAAATAAATAAAGTAAATAAATCATGTAACCATAATGTTCACCTCTTTCATAGCTTAAATAGATGTATTCAATTTACATCAAGGGCAAAAAAATTTGGGACGATATTCTCGCATCTGGTGGCGGTCGTTTCGCTGATAAGTGGATCGAAGCTGTGAGGTTGGAGAGACAATTCGGATCAAGTGATGGCGCCAGAAAACTTCTCTACAAGGTAAACATTCAATTTCAATTCTTAGCTGCTGATGCAAAGTATGTGCTGTTCTTTTTNTTTTTAGGCCCTTAATTCCGTTTCCGATCATCCAAACGCTGTATTCGAATATTTCATACAATTTGAGCGTGAAGAAGGCACTTTGGAGCAGCTTGACAAAGCCCTGGAGAAGGTGAGCGATCATTTTGCCCATTCTGTGAATTTCGGTTTTCTTCTTTTTTGTCGTTTTCGAATACTTTTTTACATTTTTTGTCAGAGGCATATTGATTTTTGTGTTTTAAACTACTTTTTAATTTTCTTGCCCTCTTCGCGATAATGCTCACCCATTTTTGTGCTACCCTCAGTTTATGAAGAACTGCTTTCGGATTGTGATTTTACCGTGATCCTTTCGACGGTCGAACATATAAGAATCCTGATGCTACTGTTCGCGGGCATTAAAAAATGTTGACAGACTCTCTGAATTTGAGAGATTGAATGCCCTCTACATTGTATTGCTCTGTTAGTTTTGCTCGATAAAGCCTGGTTAAGGTGAACGCCCAAGCTATGCAAAGAGCTAGTCGGGTGCAAGCACAAAAACCTAAGGAGGAGTCAGCTGGAAAGAAGCCTCATGGCAAAGAGGTATGTCATGAATACATTTTGTAGCTCACTGCGGTACTTCGGTTGGTTGCGATTTCGATCTTAATGACTTGATTTATTTTTGTGTTCTTCTCGGTTTTTTTTCAGATCTTTAATGCTAGTGCGCGTTGAAATAGATATCTTCGGCGATTATTGGCGGTGATTAAGCGTACAGATATTGGGGAAACGTCGTGCGTGATAATTCTTTTTTTTTGGGCTAAATTGCAAATTTTTATACAAGGAGCGGCTTTCAAGCCAATCTTCCGATATGAAATTTCACCGATACTTTTATTACGAGTAAGACCCTGCTTTCTGATTACAAATGAGATCGAAAACCACGCTCCTAGCTGTTTGACGGGCAAGTATTCTTTATATGAGATTAAATGCTTGTCTTTAGAGACGTGGTGCAGTGGATAAGCATGAACCAAACGATTCCAGTCGTAAAAGAGCGGGCTCAACTTTGGAAGAAGTCGTTGCAACGAAAAAGCAGGTATGTAGTAACAATCTTTCCGCTTTTAAGATTTTTTTTTTTGAAGAATGAAGGGAGATCTCGTACTGCGGTTGTTCGTGAAAGAGTAGCCGAGATGGAACTGAAAAGATGTATCCTTATTAGCTCCGTTTTTCTGAAAGTACCTTCGATCACTTCAAATTTCGATAGGAATGAAGACAATGCTCGAAAACCCAACTCATGTTTATTACCAACAGATCATTCAAGAGGCTTTTTGAAAACTAAACAGAATTTCAAAATTCGTAATAACTCTGATGAGTAGGGATTTCTTAAGTGATCCAGTGTTGGTCCGACTTCAACACTTTGGAATCTATCATTGGTTTCGATATCTGCATATATGTATGTAAAATTCCGGCCTCTCTATTGTCGCAATGTTTTTCACATCGTTCTTTTTTCGGTTTTCAAGCAAACTTGTGTATATGCTTCATTTACCCATGTTAGGCTACCGAGGTGGTCAAGCCGAACCCCTCCGATCAAAATGTGCCCAAGGACAAGGACGGATTTGCAATGCCAATGCTTCCTGTAAGGAAGGTGCGTATGAGCATGTAAAATTCTGGTTTTTTGTGATGTGTTATTGCACTTCTCTGCAAAACTTGTCGCATGATAGTTGTTTTAGTCCACTGCTCCAGTACACTCTCCATCAGCGTCGTCTGGACAGCCTACGACATCGACACCGTCTTCTGACAAAGAGCAGAAGTTCACGGTATTCATTTCCAACCTGGACTTCAAAACTACACCTGAACAAGTCAAGAAGGTAAAATGCATTTTTTTGGGGAATTACCTGTGACGCCAAAAAAGATGTTTTGATGTTTAGGTATTGAGCGGTGTTCTCGATGTTCGGTTAGTGTACCGTGGAATGAGTAAATTGACTAAAGGATATGGCTTTGTTGATCTGGACTCCAAAGAAAGTTACGAGGAAGCGTTAGCAAAAGATCGAGTTCCTATCGAAGGGAGGCCAATGTTGGTTAGTAGCAGCCATAATAGCTTTACTACTTAATTAAAAACACATCTCACCGTTTCAGATTTCGGTCAACGATCCTGAAAAACGACCAACATTCAAATATTCCACTGATCTTGAGAAATCGAAGTTGTTCGTCCGTAATGTGCATTACGACTGTACGGAGGATCAGCTGCGGGTGAGTGTTGAACGTGGAAAATTTCAAATTGTTTATGCCGGCTTTGAAAGCTGGATGTAATAGCTGGGAAAAGTCAACTGTTACATCCAACAACTCAATTCTTGTGCTAAGAATTTTCATACCAATTGTCTATGAATATTCTACCTTTGTTGACGTTTCTTTCGTTCCCACCCACCAATTTTCGTAGTCTTCCATGCGTGTGCTGAGGGGTGTTCGTACGTTACATGATTTGAGCTCAGTCCATGGTGAAGTCCACTCCGAGTTTCCCCTTCCTATTTGACGCCAAACCGACCCTGATTAAGGCTCAGCTTTCACTGAAAATAATTTTGTTATAAGGCGTTTTACCCTCGTAACAATCTCTTCCGATTGCTTCGCTGTTGAATTAGTTTAGTATGTGATTTTTTCGGCTCTGATTAACCGCTACTTGGTTTGATTTTCTCTTATTTACTGTGAACGATGTGTTCATCCTGCATTGTCAGTACTATGAGCATGCTCTCATTATAGTTGTGAATAATCTAAATCGCAAAACGCATCATCACTGAAGATATCTCAGCATATTCATTCCACGATTGGGATATAGCTTGAATTGCTCTTGGTAGGCTAGCTGCTAGGACTCCTAAGTATTGTGCCCTCCCCTGCCATACAAGGATCGTCTTGTCTCGAACAGTTCTATTTAATTTTTACTCCGTTCTTCACTCTCTAATAGCTTTATTTTTTTTTATAAGTTCCACAATTTAACCCTCAAAAGAGTTTTTTGTTCCAGGATGCTTTCAAGGTATTCGGTGAAGTGAAAGCGGTGAGAATCGTCACTCATATCTCAGGAAAACCAAAAGGAGTCGCTTACGTTGAATTTGCCAACGAAGATGACGCTCGAAAAGCTGTGCTAGAGCCAGAGATCATACTGCTCGGTTTGTGTTTCCTATGTGGTTCAATGCTACTTTTGCGAGATTTTTTAAATAATATATCTATTCATATTTCGAGTATTGAAGTAACTTTTGTGAGGGCATAATTCAGGTCCAATGTAAGTCGATGGCGCAGCGTTCCGCCGCTTAGGTTACCTATGGTCATACCCAGAGCCTTAGTTTTATTATCTTACTCGGAGCCTTAACTTTAATAACTCGGATGGTCGGAACTACTCGTTGATTATTCAAAAGAATAGTCCCACTTGCATGTGATATCGTTGGTGATGGTCTTATCGAGCAGTTATGATCCAAACCTTGCTATGTCAGTTATAAATGTGTACATATCAGTATCTGCTGAAAATTTCACCCAGGTCCAGTTTTTTTCTGGAATATCCGAAGCTCCCATAAAAATACCATAAAATAACGCTACTCTTTTGTATGTGTGTCATATCAGGAGATTTCATGGTTTGTGGTTGATTGACCAGATCGAGGCATCGGCCTTCTTGTTTCTGGCTTTGACTTGCACAGAACTGCTTAGAAAGAACTTCGAAGCCGAATATTGACATAAGTTTCAATAGGGATTAACGATGGAGCGGGCAGAATCGAACTCGTAAAGAAGGGTGCTTCGAATATGGAGGAACAGCTCACTTTTTATAGGATCTGTAAGAAAGGAGAAGGTAGTCGGATATATTACGCGTGTACAACTGGGTGGTGTTCATATATACCAAGTTCATGAGCACTTCTAGATTTCTAGAAAACCTGGGCTATTGCCAAAGTTTCGGCAGATGCTTTCGTAATGTCCATAATAGTGGTCACGGAAAAGGTACTACTGGCATTTCCCATCATCGGACAATAACGTTTGCATAGGATTCAGATTGCACGCAACAAAGGTCTCTGCAATGCGTATTTCCTCCTCATGCTTGTTCATATGAAATCAAATGTCNCTTTCTTTTTGGTTTTCCAAGGTTATTCAGTATATATAAAGTCACTAATTTCAGATCGCAAATTGCATGTGGCGATTTCCAACCCACCAAAAAAGCCAGCAAAGGAGGAAGCCAAACAACTCTCTTCAACCCCTATTGCCTCCACTTCAACTGACAGGAAAGCGCACTTGACAATGGTTCCAAGAGGGGTGAAAGCTTCATCAGCAAAAGTTGTTAATGGTGTCAGTAATGGTTCAAAAAAACCTATGAGCAATGATGAGTTTAGACAAATGCTTAAGAAGTGATATTGACGGCAATTGGAGATCTGCCTTTTCTCATTCCTATTGTTAAACAGTAATCAATTACATGCTCTCGAGCTCGCAAAGTTAAGCTCCATTTTGAATTTTTGTTGATTGTTAATTATTCGTTCTGTGTTGCAAATTGATCTAAAATATTTTTTTTGTTCTGAGTAATAAATCATAATGTACTTTGTTTATTTGTTTATATAAAGGAGACATGTGCACATTTCGCAATACTTCATATTTTGTATACAGCGGTATCTGTTAGCATTTATCGCCAAATGTTCGGTCTTCACTCAACTTCTTAGTTCGAAATGGTGGAGTCAGCTGCTAATGGAACGAGAACATCACTTGATGAGGAACATCTCTTAGCTCCTTTCGACTACATAACTTCAATGCCAGGTAAACAGGTTCGTCTATTTCATTATTCATCTTTTGAAGCTCTGACAGCTCTTGATTGTGAAGCGTAGCCGTTAGAACCCGCCGATTTTATCCGCTGCGAGTTTTAACCTTGTTTTGAGTTTTGAACCACTCCGTCTCGATACAATACCACAGTAATGAGCTATAAAAATTGTGTCCATAAATCTCGCCATCTCTGAGCCCAGTGATTTGCAGATTGAGGTCAATTCATGTAATTGCTGTGTTCTAACCAAAAACAGATCGCCGTTCGGTATTTCTCCGAGTTTTTTTTTTGCAGTACGCGGAAAACGCCTGAAAATCAACTACAGAGCGTCTAGAAAGAAGCTACGCAGTGCCATATAGTGAATTACACATGCATCGTTTGATTCTCTTTTAGAGCACCATATATGTCATGCACCCGGATTCTGCAGCTCTACTAAGTGAACTGTAATAAGTGGATAACATTCTGGTTCTAGTGATGAGGCTACTACACCTTGGCTACCCCACGACCCTACTTCTTGACAGCTTTTGAAGGGCACCTCCGCCTCTGATAGAAAACTGACGGTCTGTTTCTCTGTCGAAGAACATTACTTCGAATATTTGGGGTATACTGTGCTGGTGTATTGGTGTATACTGAATTGTATGAGAACTGGAAAATCGGAAACGTTTCTTTGTAATATAAGGATGCCAAGGATAAGTCCTAAAGTCTCTGTCGATAATTAGTCCCGTCTTTGGGATGTGCCCTCGCATTCGACTGCTGTTTAGAAACGCAGTGGCCTTTGACTGAATGTGTCCCCTCTACATCATAAACTGAATTTTTTGAAAGTTTTGGATGGGTCTATGGAACAGGTGTTTTTTTAGATCAGAGGCCAACTTGCTATGGCTTTCAATATTTGGCTCAAAATAGGAACGGAGGAATTATCGGAAATTATGGGTTGGTTTCTTCTTCCGTTGAATTTGCGTATAATCTTACTATCACTTTTATAGAGATTGTTCAAATGCTTCACAATGCTTCGTTACTCGTCGATGACATCGAGGACAACTCAGTACTGCGACGTGGCCTTCCTGTCACCCATCACATCTACGGCACCCCCCGAACTATCAACTCTGCTAATTACGTATACTTTATAGCGCTCGAGAAATGCACACGGCTGTCCCATGAGGCTGTTCGTATATTTGCAGGTTAGTTGTCAGGTCTAATGAACAAGTACTTCCCATAATGTTGGTCTTACGATAACAAGTAAACTGACAGTGATGTTAAGATTGAATTGATGCAGATGAATCTGTGTTATGATGCTTAAAGGCACCGTCCATGATTATTTGGGGGTATGGAGTTCCAGACAAAAGATGGGTGCGAAGGTGCAAAAAAAAAAACTCGAAAACTGGCGTATTTAGAGAAATATAATGCTTAAAAAACAGTCAA